GAACTTCGAAATTTCACAACTTTTTCAACTTTTTGATTTCACATCCACTCTTTGCACAACGAAGACACTCGTACCCGCGCATTAATGCACTGGCAATTTATTCTCTACTCCCTAGCGACACCCACCTGCTTTTCGCGGAATTTTAATCTTTTTTTGAAATTTTTGTATTTTTGGGCTGCTCCATAAAGCCCCGCCCTCCGTGATAGGCTCCGCGAAAAGCAGGAGATCACTTCAAATAAGCCCCGCCCACTTTCAAAAATGGTGCAAATCGGCAGTATAGAGTCTTGGCTTGCATGCTAGGGTCTCGTCCGTCACTCGGAACAAATAAATCAGGCAAAGTTTGCCTCTCGCAGTGGGCGGGGCTTCACGTAGCAGTCCAAAAATGCAAAAATTTTGAAAAAATATCAAAATTCCGCAAAAAGCAAGTGGGCGTGGCCAAGGGGGCGGAGCCTAAATTGCCAGTGCATAAATGCGCGGGTACGAGTATCTTCGTTGTGCAAAGAGTGGATGTGAAATTAAAAAGTTGAAAAAGTTATGAAATTTCGAAGTTCGCAACAAACCCTTTAAAGACTGGGCGGAGTCGGCCATGTGTTGAAAATCTATGTCCGCGCTGACAAGTAGGCGTGACCGTCGGGCGGGGCTCGCAGTGGTGTCTGGCGTGATCTGGTTGGTGAACTGCCCGTCTAAAAAGAGTGGTGAATTTGATTTGAAAAGTGGTGAATTTGGTTTGAAAAGTGGTGAATTTGGTTTGAAAAGTGGTGAATTCAAAGTGAAAATGGTATATATCCAGTTGACTCAAAGATGTTCAGAAGGCCATGCGTGCAAAAGTGGCAATATCTCGAGACAGTGAGCTGTATTATAATGCATGTCGGAAGCGACGTGGACGAATAATGGATTCCCGGATAATCGACTATTCCGTTACAATCTCAACACCATCAGAGGAGAAGCCTGCGTTCACTTTCTGTGATTTAGCGCGTACGTTTTCATAATGGATTTGAGCATATCCTTTTATTTGACCCAAATTCGACGACTGAGATTGAGAGTGAGGAATTTTTACACCCCTTTCTTGTTTCGATTGTTCGGACACACTGAGATTTCTGATTTTTGATTGCGATAGCATGTGACAGTCTTTGATTGCGCTTATAGAAATCAATTCGTCCCTCATCCGTCGGCTGTCGGTTCGACCTCATATAGAAACTCTTCCATGTCCATCTATTGAAGATAATGGTAAAGAGAACGAAAACGGCGATGAGAATGGAGCAAAGGTAAGATTTTTGTTGTTTTCGAGAGATCTCCATGCTTTACAACTTGGCTTCTCATTGTTTCAGACCAAGTAATTTTGGAACCTTCAATTATAGGAAGCCATCGGTAGAACTTGAAGAAGAACAACAGGACGAGTCATCGGCAAGTGAGAAGCCGATGTCAGAAAGTCGTGAAGAAGTGAAGGAGGAGGAGAAGAAGGATAATGAAAACAGGAAAAAGCGCGGTCCAGATAATCAGACACTGCTGCGGTTATTGGAGCAAGGCGAACAGCTTCATAGCATGTTTCGTTGCGCTAGGATCCAGGTAAATG